AAACAAACAAAATCAGAAAAGGGGGACACCATATGTGTCACCTGTCGAATATCAAAAAAGATTTCTAAGTGTATCTTATGGGGAAAATAGAAAATAAAAATAACGATTCTCTAATACTGTCCCTCAGTTAAGAACATCCGACTTACAGACCACTCGTACTTATGAACAGGCTGCTTATTATTAAAAATGGCAGACGGAGTTCTCCTTCCTTGAGCCGACTGAAGCCGCACAATGTTTTCATGACCTGTTGAAGCCGCACATTTTTAATATACAGCCTGCTTATTTTTAGTAATAGGCAGCCTGTTCGTAAGTATGAGTTCTGACTTACGTACAAATTCAAGTTAAAGACAGACGTAGGAATGGATCTTGTTCTTAACCTGGTGTCTGCCTGTATAACAACTGTAACATCCTTGACAGATGGGTGCTCAACCTTTGCTTGAACTCTTCCAATGAAGGAAATTTGCCACCTCCCTAGATTATCACCTTCCTATGCTTCTCCTTAGGAAGTTTCTCCTAACAGTCAACCAGAATCTGCCTCACTATAATTTAAGAAAACCATTCCATGTCCTCCAATTGGGATGATAAAGAAGAGGATGACATCTTCTCATTTGCTTGCTAGCTTATTTGTTTAGTTACAGGGAACCGATGGTATGATCCAGGAGCTTGGGTACCACTAGAGTAAGAGTTAACCCTTTCCTCCATGCTGATACTCATATCTAGCCACTTAGCCACTTCTAGAGTGGCTATTAGTTCTACAAGGTAAACATAAGAAAAAGAGCTCTTGTCTATTTTCCCCATATAAAAACTGCAGCTTTGAGACTCAATTCCTAGTAAGGATACACAGTAAAAAGAAAGGCTTAAAGCTTAAACCTTGCTTCCTCAATTCAGCCAGGCATATAATTAATGGCATTTGGTTTGCCATCTATCCTGAACTCCACTTGGCTCAAAAATTCACACACACACAGACACACACACATTTATATATTTGGGGGGAAAGCTGCAAGTTCTTAACCTGGAGACCATGGAAAATTGGATATATTTGGGAAAGTTGTGTACACAAATGTATGTTTTTAGAACTACATGATTGAATATATGATGGAAGCTGGTGTACTAAAAATACATGTATTAGGGAATGTTAGATATAAATATGAGAGAGAGAGAGA